CATATAACTCCAGAATACCTCTTATTGGTGCGCAACTCCCAGTTAGCATCATACGAGAATCCACTGAAGGATAAAAATAAAATCAAAAGACCATCAAGATTTTCAAGTCCTTCGTCTAGAGAGCCAATATTCATGGATTCTTTTCCAAAGTTAAAGAGTTGGTACAGGCAGCATCAAGAATGTATTGCTTCTATCCTTTCTGGTCTGGTACCTGGAACCCCTGTTCACCATATTGTCGAGGCCCTCCTGAATTTTATGTTCAGAAAAATAAATAGGGGAGGTCAACCACTGACTCCTACAACTTCTGGAAGTAGCACTTCTTCTGTGTCTGGAGCTGACGATTCCTGTCTACGTCTTAAATTACCTGCTTGGGATATTCTTGAAGCTGTTCCCTTTGTGCTTGATGCTTCCCTTACTGCCTGTGCACATGGGAGATTGTCACCCCGTGAACTGACTACTGGTTAGTAATTATGTATACTACTAAATCGTATTGTTAGCATTTCTAGAATTATCATCTTAGAAGAACGCTGATGCTGTTGTCTTAGGAAGGCGTGCTCATCAGATCCGTTTCAGACATGCATGAGAGAGCGCTTATTTTGATTACTTATTAAGACTTGTACAGCGAACTCTATTGGACTTTTTTATGTTCTACTTTTCTTCAATAAACATGGAAATGTTGTTTAAGAACTGAACTGCTACATATGTTAAACATCCGATTCATTAGCACATTTGAAATTTTTTGTTGCTAAAATTTAGAGATGATTGCATAGATAAGCAATCATATTTAGATTTCCACGTGTACTTCTCCTTGGAAAAATATTTGAATGTCTATCATATTTAGGTTAAGCCGGCTTTTATTACAAGTAGCATTTTTATTGTTTTAATTTAATCTCATTTATTTCTCGACGAATTGCTTTCTGTTACCATTTTGATGAACATTGCTATGCTGTATCTATCTCAGGTCTCAAAGATCTTGCTGATTTTCTTCCTGCTTCCTTAGCAACAATTGTAAGTTACTTCTCAGCAGAAGTGACTCGAGGTCTTTGGAAGCCAGCTTTCATGAATGGAACTGACTGGCCGAGTCCTGCTGCAAATTTATCCTGGGTTGAACAACAGATAAACAAAATCTTAGCTGCCACTGGTGTTGATGTCCCATGTCTTGCTCTAGGTACCTCTTTGTTCTGTTTGCATATGTTTAACAGGTCATTTTGCCTTTAGATGTGGCTGCATTGCATGGTTATCCGTCATTTGGGGTTCACAGCTATTATTGTGCAGTAGAACTTTGCTGATGAAAGTTAAGGCATTGCATGTTTATTCCATATCGGTGAAGTAGATGATACATCAGAGATATGAAATCCTTGAATTTATAGATGGAGCAATAATATTTTTTTCCCTAAATCCGTGTTTGTAAAATCTACAAATGTCTTCTACTTGTAGGGGTAAATTCTCCAGCGACTATTCCATTACCCCTGGCGGCCCTTGTTAGCCTCACAATAACCTATAAACTTGACAGAGTCACTGACCGTTTTCTAAACTTGGTCGGTCCAGCCTTGACTCACCTTGGCACATGTTGCCCCTGGCCATGCATGTCAATAATAGCTGCCTTATGGACTCAAAAGGTAAAGCGTTGGGGTGACTTCCTTGTCTTCTCTGCAGCCCGAACTGTGTTCCACCACAACACTGATGCCGTGGTTCAACTCCTCAGAGTCTGCTTTTCAACAGCGCTTGGCCTCAATTCGTCGGTTGCAAGCAATGGTGGTGTAGGTGCTCTTTTAGGTCACGGCTTTGGCTCTCACTTCGAAGGTGGCATTTCTGCGGTCGCCCCAGGAATACTATATTTACGGGTTCATCGAGCTGTTAGAAATGTCATGTTTATGACAGAAGAAATTGTCTCTCTTCTGCTGCACACTGTCAAAGATATTGCAACTCGTGGGTTGCCTGCGGAGAAATTGGAGAAACTGAAGAAAACTAAATTCAGTTCAAAATATGGTCAGGTTTCTCTTGCTTCTGCAATGACCCAGGTGAAGGTTGCAGCTTCACTGGGGGCTTCTTTGGTTTGGATGACTGGTGGATTGAGCTTGGTTCAATCTTTAATTAAAGAGACACTGCCATCAAGGTTTATATCAGTTCATGGGTCGGAGCCCAATGGCGAGGATTCAGGAGGTATGATTGCAATGCTTGGTGGTTACGCTCTCGCATACTTCGCTGTTTTTTCGGGAATATTCGCCTGGGGAGTTGACATGACACCAGCGGCATCTAAACATCGGCCTAAAGTTCTAGGGAAGCACTTTGAATTCCTAGCAAGTACTCTAGAAGGAAAAATATCGCTTGGTTGTAACAAGGCTACCTGGAAGGCGTATGTAACGGGATTTGTGAGCTTGATGGTTGGATGCACGCCGATGTGGATGCTGGAGGTGGATGTACAAGTTTTGAAGAGCGTTAGTAAAGGATTAAAACAGTGGAATGAGGAAGAACTTGCTGTGGCTCTCCTTGGAATTAGTGGGATCAATGCAATGGGTGCAGCTGCTGAAATGATTATAGAAACTGGATTTTGAATTTTATTAGGTAATTTGTCCAGAAAATTTTAGTTTATTTACAATACCTACGGGGAAGATTTTTTTCTCCGTGCTTAAAGAGAACTTGTCAATTAATGTTAATGTAGAGGTATGGAATATAGTTATCTACATTTGGGAGATTAGGTAAAATGTTATCTAACACACTGTACATATGATCCTTCTGGAGTTCTAGCTGACTATTTATCTTTATTTTTTAATTTTTTTTTTTTTATAGGTAATCACATAAATTTTATAAATAAAAAACAAAAGATAATACACAAGAAGTGTATTATCAGTTTAAACAA